ACAGTGACGCTGTATAATAACCTTTGACCGTGATACAAAGTCAAATGCCATCGTAACACCTTGTAGGTAGTCATCGTGGGTCTCTGGTATTCCTACGAGACATCTAACGCGTTCAGAATTTCACCTGTCCTTTATGCTTCATCAGTTTTTACGTAGTTCTTGAACATAACGTTGCCCGGCTTCCATAAAAGAGATAACGAGTCTCTGAAGTTCTTTCTTTTTAAGAAAATCTCTTACAAGAACGTAACAAAATTTACGCGCTATTGTATATCTGGAAGTTCTCTTCTTTTCTAAGAGGATTAAACCACCGGGATGGCGGATAGAATATGGAATGGATATTGAATATCTAGACAATGGAATTTTTTTTCCAACCTATGTGTGTCATTCATGAAGCTCTCAGTCATGTCGACTGGTAGGAAAGTTAATATTTGGAGGGACGAAATTATTTTACGGAAGCAGATGACCCGCTTATCAGGTAGCACGTATAATTAAAATTTCACGAGACATTTTTATTCGAAGTAAGACTTTGTTCCGAACTAAGGTTTAATTTCGTATGTCCTTTTTGAATAATTGCTGAAATTCTGAACGGTTCGTTATTTTAATTATTCCGGCAAGTTTTTATTCGCGACAAAGATCGTTCGTGATTAATTTATTCCCGATTCATAAATATCCTCGTTTCGTTCGAAATTTAGGTCATAAGATTATTCTATATAATACCGCGAGTATTAATATTTCCCTGTCGAATCCGATTAGGCGATTCGTTCGAAAGGCGGCGAAACGTGTTAAATCCGTATTCGCTATCAGAAATCGCTGCGATCGATCTTCGATCCGATGTTAAGACGTCGACGCGATCGCGTACACTCCGTAAGCCGGTTGTCAAAGATGAGAAGATATAAGCAAAGCCGCAAAGCAGAGGCATAAAGTTGTTCGACCGGTTGAAAACCGCATAGCGTGAAGCAACCCCTCCACGCGGGTTCTCCAACAAAGTAGAATCTCGACCTACGTTCAGGTCTCGCGGTCGCTTCCGGCCAAACATTCGCGTAAGGATCGCGACTCGAGGGCTGGAGGGTGGTCTTTGGCTGTAAATTCGACGAGGATACGTCGACGACGAGAGCGAAAGAAAAGTTTTGGGGCGTATGCGGTCGGTGTGTGACTTAACCCATCTTCGTTTCACCTTCGAGTCCTGTTCTTCACCCTTCCAGCGGACCACCCTCTCTCTCGCTCTCGCTCTCTGTCTTTATTTCCACCCCCGTAGAATCGACGTTGCGCGTTTATCGAACGACTGCGCGCGCACAGATAAGCGGAGATGGGGCGTGCTACGTGTTGGTTGGTCGCAGAGAAAGCGGGAGTCTCTGAAGTTCTTTCTTTTTAAGAAAATCTCTTACAAGAACGTAACAAAATTTACGCGCTATTGTATATCTGGAAGTTCTCTTCTTTTCTAAGAGGATTAAACCACCGGGATGGCGGATAGAATATGGAATGGATATTGAATATCTAGACAATGGAATTTTTTTTCCAACCTATGTGTGTCATTCATGAAGCTCTCAGTCATGTCGACTGGTAGGAAAGTTAATATTTGGAGGGACGAAATTATTTTACGGAAGCAGATGACCCGCTTATCAGGTAGCACGTATAATTAAAATTTCACGAGACATTTTTATTCGAAGTAAGACTTTGTTCCGAACTAAGGTTTAATTTCGTATGTCCTTTTTGAATAATTGCTGAAATTCTGAACGGTTCGTTATTTTAATTATTCCGGCAAGTTTTTATTCGCGACAAAGATCGTTCGTGATTAATTTATTCCCGATTCATAAATATCCTCGTTTCGTTCGAAATTTAGGTCATAAGATTATTCTATATAATACCGCGAGTATTAATATTTCCCTGTCGAATCCGATTAGGCGATTCGTTCGAAAGGCGGCGAAACGTGTTAAATCCGTATTCGCTATCAGAAATCGCTGCGATCGATCTTCGATCCGATGTTAAGACGTCGACGCGATCGCGTACACTCCGTAAGCCGGTTGTCAAAGATGAGAAGATATAAGCAAAGCCGCAAAGCAGAGGCATAAAGTTGTTCGACCGGTTGAAAACCGCATAGCGTGAAGCAACCCCTCCACGCGGGTTCTCCAACAAAGTAGAATCTCGACCTACGTTCAGGTCTCGCGGTCGCTTCCGGCCAAACATTCGCGTAAGGATCGCGACTCGAGGGCTGGAGGGTGGTCTTTGGCTGTAAATTCGACGAGGATACGTCGACGACGAGAGCGAAAGAAAAGTTTTGGGGCGTATGCGGTCGGTGTGTGACTTAACCCATCTTCGTTTCACCTTCGAGTCCTGTTCTTCACCCTTCCAGCGGACCACCCTCTCTCTCGCTCTCGCTCTCTGTCTTTATTTCCACCCCCGTAGAATCGACGTTGCGCGTTTATCGAACGACTGCGCGCGCACAGATAAGCGGAGATGGGGCGTGCTACGTGTTGGTTGGTCGCAGAGAAAGCGGCGGTGGACGGACGAACAAGAGTACCGAACAACGACGACAACTACGACGAGGACGGCGACGGCGACGTCGGCGAAGACGGCAGCCAACAGACACGAAACGGAGCTCGCCGCGCCACTGTTTCTTCACGCTGTGCCAACACGCCAAGCGTTGTCAACACCGACGGCTCGTGTGTCGCGAGCGCGCTGCTGATCCACGTTGAAAACGATTCGTAAGATCGCGTGAAATTTCGCGGAGGGAAAAAGCTGGATGGTTGTTCGGAGAGGTTCGAAACGGTGACGGGATTGCAACGGAAGTAGGTAAACAAAGACGAGTCCCGATGCGAAGAGGGTGACGAAGAGTGAACTGTTATCGTGGGTTGTTTGTTGTTCGCTGGTATCGATTCAAAGCGACTGCAAGAAACTGAATCTGGAGAGAAGACACGGCAAAGTGATTTCGGAGTGCAGCGGGAGAGTGCGTCGAGTGGTGCAGCAGGAACAGCTTCGACGGAGGGATCGGGAAGATTTGTGACGGGGACAGGGGTGGTCGTTTGTTCGCAGGGAGGAAAGATCGAGGAAAAATCCGGGGAGGCAAATTCGCGCGTAACCTCTGTATTTTCCGTTCGCTTGGTTCAGTCTACCTCCGTGAGGCGGAGAGGGCGGCGAGGCATCGATCGCTCGCCATTTTGCACGTCGACCGACATCTTCTCCACGCATCGACGACATTTTCTTCCCTCGTGACGGCTGCCTCGAGGAGGGAAGTTGTCACGAGCGGATGAACGAACGATTCCACGGGGAAAACCGTGTGCACCGATTGTTACGTTTTCTTTCGTGAATCCGTTCCCTCGTCTTATCGATCGCATCGGGACGTCGCGTTCGAGACACCCGATCGAGATAGAAAGCTGCGCGTTCGACTCGGGGATTAAAATTACAAAGGTCGGAGCGAAGAAGAACAGAGGGTAAGAAAGTTCGTGGGAGGAGCAGCAGGCGAAGTAGGAGGACAGGGTCGTTCTGGTGGAAAGGTAGAAGTCAGCAGGCTGGGAGCTCGGCTGAGCGAGGTCGTGGGTCCCGTCGTGGAGGAGGCCATCGAGCCAGGGGATGCGACCCCGCTGACGGGACCCTCG